TCTTATTGAGTTATGCGATATGAGACACAAGATACATATATATAGTATTTAACATTAATATAATGTTAACACCGACATAATGTAAACTTTTCTAATACATAACGGAGAATATATATTTAGAGATTTCTTCCATTTATGTTTCACGGGCTTCATTTCATAAACGGCCTTTAATGCCCCACAACACTTGGTCTTTGTTTCCCAAGTTATCTCCAATATTAACTTTCCTAATTACAATAATAAAGAAATGTACGTGCAGGCTCACTTGGTTTAGTTCTAAAATTTTTTGAAGTCAGGTGCTATGTTCATAATCTCCAAGATCTCCTAACATTCATTCTTATAAAATCACAACAGCTCTTAATTTGAAAATTGATTGTCGGTTTTATACTGAGTTTCTTTAAGTTCGAATCAGTTTGGTAGTCCAAAATCCATCTAATAACTTTTGTTACTACAGAAAAATATGTGAATAGTTTTAGTGTAAATCAATCTAATGGTATTGGATTAACAAGCAATGCCATGACACGATCAACGGTCTTGGCTTTGTCTGGAAATCCATGACCATCGCCAAATTGATACATGCATTGCGACATGCGTGCCAGGTTCATTGCAGCTTCCACAAAACCTCGAGGAAGTAATGAAGAACTACGTGCCGTTTTTGCTTCGTAATTCATTTCGTCCCACGTTTCACTGATCAGCTGGTGCACGTGCGCACGTGCCTTCTCCTCAGAAGCTCCGGTCTCATGCATGTAACATTGGACCGATTTCAGAACGTCTCCTCTCGCCAATTCTTCCTATAAATATAAACAAATATATTTAATATTTTTACTAAACATTTTAAAGTATATTTATAAATATTAATCAGACATCTAAGACCGATTAATCGACCGTCTAAGCTCAAACAATTTTTTTGTCGGTCTATTGTCTTAGCCAGTAACCAACCAATTTGCTTCAAATCTACCTAATTTAGAAAGAATTTTTAGAACTTTAGTGAGTTATCAAGATTATCCTCTAATCGATCTTAATTATTAACACTCACATGTGATTCAAAAATACATACCTAAAAAGTTAGAAGATAAATTACTTACTTGTGAAGTTCCAAGGTCATTAGCTAGACGGAGCACGGTGGCGGAACATCGGACAACGTTTTGTCGATGTTGAGACAAAGACTCCAAGATTTGAATTGAGATTTGGTCAGAGAAAATGCAGTAAAAATGGATTAACATTGTTGGGGCCGAAATTGAAATCCAAGCATTTTGCATGTATTCTTCCACGCCTGGTTTGTATCCTCTTTTATACCACTTTGCTTCCACTAGATATGTGTTACATAAATCTGCCCACTAGTTTTAACAAAAGCATATATATAAAAAAGTTTTTTAAAAAGAGAGTAAAGCTATTAATATACTATAAAACAAATCGATAATGAATAAATATTGGAACATACCGATTTCTTGAGAAAAGGGATGACATCAATATTTTTGTGTTTGAGAATATCACATCCAATGCTATTGATTTCATTGAACAAAATAAGAAAACACAACCTCATGTATTCGGGGAGATCATCAAGACGATTTACATCCCACCTACAATATATATCCGGTTTTAATTTAAAGTCACACTTGTTAAAAGAAAAAAGTAATCATTCAATACTGTTAATTTATAATGCTCGATAAGTTTTAATAGATTAAGAAGAAATATAAGTAGAGAGTACTTACTTTTCAACCATGGCAGTGAAGAGTTCAAGTTCTTCAAGGGTGCCATATATATCGTAGATGTCATCGATAGTTGTAACAAGTGCATTAATTATAGTCATGATCCGTCGAATATATCCAAATTGTGGTTCGCATATTAATCCAACGGTCCAAAAATAATTCTCGACTATTCTGTCTCTTACAAAGGGAAGTTGCTTACTCAAACATGTCTCCTTCCACCAGCTTTTTATCATTATAAGAGGGAATATTAGAAAGAGTGATAAAACGGAAGTAACGATAAATAGCTCAACAATATATATATATATTACTTCTATAGTCAGTTTATAATTTTTTTTTTTTTTTAATCCTACAGTCTATACCTTGAAACATATTTGAGATCTTCTTGATGAGAAGTTTGTAGGATATTGAAATCGATTTTGGCAAAGTCTATCAAGACGACATTCATGTCACGTTTCTTCTCGTATGCATCTATGTACCATCTCGTCTCTAGCCTTCTCATTCTCCAATGGTACGGCATTTCTAACGCATGAATCGCCATCTCAGTATTGTAAGTATCATCATAATCATGATGACTTTCAACAAATTTTCTTATTTGTTGTAGTGCAAAAGGTCTGATGACTTCACGCAATTTCGTATCCGATTTCGTGGAGAGATACGACGCTTCGTATAAAGTGATGATACTTTTTACATCATCACTCTTGAATGTATTGCCTTTTATTTTGTCGATGGTCACATCAAATATATCTGAAAACACAAGGTCTTTTTAGTTAATATGAAATTTATATAAAACAATGTTTAACGTATGGAAAATGAAAATAAAAATACTAACCTTCTGAGACATTAAAACCATGTTGTCTAAGAAGTCGGAATTCGAGTGCGGTAATTTGTATATCGTCTTCATTGTTACATTCCCATACAATTTTTTGATGAAAATCCATTAAAATGTTATTTATTTTTAGCTCAAAATGATATGAAACCCCAAGTTTTTGCAAATCGTCGATGAGCTCTAATTGTTCGAGACAACTCTCCTTTTCAACATCAAGCATCTTCTTCACTTTATTCTTCAACAAATCTCTAGTTATCACTTTATCTTCTTTCTGTATGCATGTATTGTAATTACTAAGTCTATAATTTTGTTTAGAAAAAAATATTAGAAAAAGCAGATTAATGTTTGTTGTATAATATAGGTTCGCAAATATTTTACCGCATATTTACTATCGATCGAAAGGAGACAATGATGGTTCCATGGAGAAGGCTGATAGTTGCCGGAGCGTCGACAGAGAACGTCAACGTGAGCATCATCCGGCGTCGTTTTGGTCATCGATTTGCAAACGAAACTCCGACGACGATGTCGAAAAAGAAAATTGTGGATAAGGGCACTTTTGTAGATATGAGTTGAGCCCATACATAAAGTAGCCATTTAATTTTAGATGATTGATGATGGCTGAGGATACACTCACAACACGTACT